AAATAAAGTCTGGTGGTAGGGAGTCTAGGGATGCGGTGGCTGCATGATCACCAGGTCCTCCAGCTTCTTCTAGCTTGTGTTACCATGTTTACCATGTCACCTCACACTCCAGACAGGAAGGTAGAAATAGCCAAAGAAGGAAACTACACAAAGGATGTGACCCGTATTTCTAGGCCACTTTTCAGAAGTTGTACATCCTATTTTCTCTGACATCTCATTGGCCAGAACTTAGTTGCAAGGGAGGCTGAACAAGGTAATCTTATTCTGGGCACCTATGTGCCTAATTAGTATCAGGGACTCTGTAGCCGAGGAAGAAGGGAGAAATGGACTTTGGGGGACAGCCAGCATTTTTTTTTGCAACATCCCCAAGTAGAAAGGAGATTGAATACTATTTTTTACCTTTCCTTAAAAAATGATAAAAGTTTATCATGGCTTCTACATCAGTTCATTGTCTTGGTCCTCCTCCTACGTTTAGGCTCTCTTATCCTCTCCTTTTTCTCTGTCCCCTTCTCCATTAAGTCACTCTAGTTGCAAGTAACAGAAAGTGGTTGTCTAACTTAAGACAAGGGCTAACTGCCTCAAAGGGAAGGCTTGAGAGTCAGGCTTGGAGAAGTCAGAAACCAGGCAGCTCCAGGGTTTGGGAAGCAATGATATTTGACAATATCATTGGGATGAGGATGCTATAATTAATGAGCATCTATCTTTTTCAATAATTATATTGTGACTCCTGAAATTTCAAGTTGTGTTTGAGAAAATCTCATTGGTCTAGTTTTTTTTCATCCAGGCACTTGAGGGCTGTCTGGATCATGGTTTCCTTTGACACTGTTGACATTTGGGCTGGATAATTTGTGTGGGCCTGTCCTGTGCATGGGGATGGTTAGCAACATCTCTGGCCTTGACCCATAAGGTGCTAGCGGTATCCTCCCCTCAATCATGTCAACCAAAGATGTCTCCAGACATTGCCAAATGTCCCCTATGAGACAAAACCGGCCTCAGTTGAGAACCACTGTTTAGGTGGACAGACTTAAAGAAACAAGGGAAACGTTGCAATGTGAGATAGACAGATGTAAGCACAAAGTACAAAAATGATCTGTAAGGAACTTAAATTGGAGATTTTGAAAATACTTGTATCTACACTGATGAACTGGTCAATAAGCTAAAGCTTAGCCACGTGAGATAATGAAAAGACAATGTAAGACAGCATTTTTCATAACGGCAGACAAAGGTGCTAACACTTGTTAAGTCCTTGCTTCCCTTGCTACACAAAAGCGGCTTTACATTTGTTGATCTGTTTCATTCTTGCAGTAATATAGTTAGGGATTATTTTGTGTTAGGGGGAAAGTGAGCTAGTGAGTTAGTTACATGCTCAAGACTGCACATCAGTTTCTTTGCATTTGCTAATGGGACCACTTTTCTCTCCACCATGCCATCATCACGTTCATCACAGTCTCTTGTCTTCTTCAAACCACCTCAGCTTCACCCCAGCAGCAATCAGCAGTCGTGTCTGGAGAACTGTTGTGTCACGATGTCTCTCACGTCTGTTCCTTCTTTCCTTCTCTGATTCCACTTACCCCACCTGTTTCACCCCAATCCTCTCCACCCTAAACATTAGCCAGGATGAATCTCAGTGCAAGTTGGATATCACACCTTCTTTCTCTCCATTGTAAACCAAATCGAAACATCATGGGTCTGCTTCCTAACCTCATTTCTCCGAGTTCTCACTGCCTTCCAAAACAGACATCATGCTCTGACAATAGCAGCTATTTCTGAAATGTTTAATATACTGGTCCACAGAATCCTTGCAGCAGTCTAGTGAGGATGATGGTGCAGTTCTTATTTTGCAAGTGATCCCAAGCTGCTTCCTCTGCTTTTGATCATGCTGCCCCTATTGCTTGAACACTTTTCTTCCTTCCTTTACTCAGTTTGCTCCAGTTCCTGCTAGGCTTAGCTCTGATGTCACACCTTCCCAAAGCTGTTCTTGATCATTTAGCCCTTGCAGATGGTTATTTTCTCCTTTTAGTACATCATTCCCCCGTATTTATCTAATATCCCTCTCACAGTAAGCTTCTAGAATGGAATTGAAATCACCCCTGCACCCTTAGCGTCCTTTCATGTTCAAACATGTGTTGTCTGAATAAAGTGCAGCCACCACTCACATGGAGTTTAATTTTCTTCAATGAAAGCCACCAGGTAGCCACACTTACTAAACTGTCAGGGCTGCAAGCTGGCCTCTCTGCCCTCGCCCAGCACCACCAGCACTGTTAGGGCTCAGATGTCCTGGTGCTTGCTTGATCCTCCTGTCTGCCTCTGATGACAGGAGCACCCCCTCTTGGGGAAAGGAGGAAAGCCTACCCAGCCACCTTGGAATTGCTCCACAAGTGGGAACATGCTCTGTTTTGGGTCTGAGCAGAACAGCACTGGTCTCAGGCCAGGTCATTTATTTACTCAGGAGCTATAACTGGCTGTCTAATGAGCTTTCCTTTCCTCTTTGTAATGTTGGGATACTACCCGCCCTTCCCAGGGCTGCTGGGAGGCTTCAAGTTCAAGTACGGAAAAGCATTTCGTTGGGAGCCTGGCTTCTCAAGGGTCGGACTCATTCCTTGGTGTCCTTCTCAGCCCGTGTTTTGGGGATGATGGGGTCTGACGATGCTTTGTCCCTGATCTTGCCCTACTGGGTTCCCTTTTCTCCAGCTGGAGAAAGGAGCCCCTACAGCCCTCCCCGCTGCCAGAATGAAGATCAGTCTTCCCACAGTCCCGTTCCTCCAGGGCCCCTGCGGAAACGAAGCTCCCCTCGCAGGGTCCGCCTCAGCCTCCGCGGGAGGTCCTCTGCTGTGAGATTCGGGAATCAGAAAGTGAGACTGCCCGATTTGTTTTGGCGTAAGGCATCGGAAACCTTGATATTCTGATGGTGAGGAGAGGATGGAAGAAAGGTAAGTCCTAGAAAACATCATTTTGTGTGTCTTGCTTTTCTGACATTCTTGGTAGTTGTATCATAGTTATCATTTGAGAGCTGGCTTCCCAATTCTATGCCTTCTCTAGAAAATTAGTGCACCTAACCCTGTGGATCCCATTCCTCGCTCCCTTTCTGTAGATGAGAAACAGGCACAGCAAGGGAAGTGGTGGGGTCAGGATTCACACTAGCTCTGCCTGACCCAGGAAACTGCAGCCCTGGAAAGTTTGAGGCTGGTCAGCCCTGCCCTTTGCCAGCACGGACACTCCTCTGGAGGCTGAGCAATACTGAAGGCTTTGTTTTCCTCCTGCCTCCAAACTCGCCAGATCCAGACCAGATTCTCCAAGATCTGTCCCTGGAAATGGTGAGCTTGCCACTTGTTCTTCAACACATCCTTGCCCTACAGGTTTCTAGTTCTGACCTTGCTCCAAATCAATCATTTCCCCTGTGCATTGGGAGCATGAAGGCTCTGGGCAAGGACAGCATGAACGGTGGGAAAGCCACTTGACATTTCACCAACAGATGGAACTGTCTGAAGACCGTGTAATGTTAGTTAGGAGCAACAAAGAGCCACTTTGAATGACTTAAAATGAAAAACAAGCGAAGTGACAGCAGATGGCTAGAGAACTAAGCTGGGAAATCAGGCAGAATTTGGGGGCGTGGGTAAGACGCAGGACCACCCAGTCGTCACTCTGGTGTTTAGCACTGCTGCGGCCCAGGGCCACAGCTGGAATCATGCCTGCTCCTCTGCAGCTGCCTCTTAAGTTGGATGAGGACGTGACCACTGGCTTCTGCTCCCTCTTCGACCTGACTCAGCATCCATCTGACTGGTCAAACCAAGGTCACAGTCCTGCCCTGGATGCAGGGGAGGCTTTTCAGCTTTTCTGATGGGAAGTGATCTTGGCAACTCACCAGGACTTAAATGGCATGGTGTCCAAACACAGGATTAGATGCTGGGTAGCCCTCACAACAAAAAATGTCCAGTACAGCGGCCATTCAGTTAAATTTCCCACCTCCCTTACATCATAGGGGAACACTAGAGGGGAGAATGGCTTTCTTCGCAAATACACATGGCCAAGGCAAATCAGTTTCATCTCCTGGAAGAAACCAATCAACTGAATTCCAATTGAATAGAGCATTGCTGGATCTTGGGGATTTGTGTGGCTGGGGGAGGCACGAAGGCCAGGTAGTTATGCCAGCCTACACTGCTTTTTCAAGCAAGGCATTTCAATTATCGTCTCCTCTGAGCTACCCTAGTTTGTGGATGACTAAACATACTAACCTAACCCATTTTCTGGGTTGGATACATTCACTTTGCAAGATGAGAGCATTAAGCATTTTAGCAAGAGGCTGTATATGTATTAATTTTTGTCTTGATGCTTCCAAGCCTAGCTGTGCAGGAGTCACCCAAATCCTCTGTTCTCCCAAAGGCCTAAATCACAATCTCCTGGACATCTAAGCAAGAAAATCTTTAAAAATCTATTTCTTCTGTGACACAACTAACACTTGGGAACTTATTTCCCAGGACAGAATCCTGTTTTCTAGAGGCAGAGAAGGTTCCATCACCTTTTCATTCACCAAAGTCCACCAGAACTCTAGGATGCAGTTCTCCAGGCTTAGAAATAGCTAGAATATTTCTGTATGTATCTGCATCATGACTTGGAAAACATTACAATTGTTCCTGTCACCTATCTCAGACTCTTAAGAGGAACTTGGCCACAGGCATTTGTATTCTGTGCAGTTCCTAACACCCAACGGGCCTTTAATTCATGACAATTTAGGATTATCCACGTGCACTTTGTTGTTCCCCCCATCTAACACCCAGTACAAGCTGGAGTTACCTTGAAACTGCATTAATCTACTTGACAGTTGTCTTAGGGAGGTGCTGCAGTACTGGAGCACTTTCTTCAGAATCCCAGGGCATCCAGATTGTCAGAAGTCCTTAGTCGGTACACCAAAGGCCCAAGCTAGCTCAGGATTTTTGATGAGTCCTCATACCTGATACTGCAGGGTGGTAAACTTTTCATGTAGAATGCATATATTAATAAAGCAGCTAATGGGTAGGGTACTTTGTGCCGGGTGCTGTCCTAAGCACTTACTTCATTCAATTCACACTGTCTTACAAAGCAGGTTTTATTACTTTGTTTCACACACTTAACAGGCCCTGAAAAATAGGAGACACAGCTGGAATTTGAATCCAGGTATTCTGCTACGTAGAGTTGAATAAGTAAGATCTTTTTTTGGGTGTCGGATTCAGCTTTACTTACGATAACCTGGCCTGCTAAGACCAAAATAAAATTTAGATATAGTAATGACTTATCATTTGCAGCCCAGAGGAGCCAAATGTTTTTCTTGCATGTGGTGATCTGCTCGGCTCTCTGCTCATGCTGCCAGACCTTCCTGGCTAAAGCCACTTAATCCCATTTGTCAAGTCAACAGCTCCCCATGTGCCACCAGCAGGTATGCTCTTAGCATAGGAACCAAGGAGGCCTTCTTCTCGTACAAATAAGCCTTGCAGTTGGTGCTGCCCTGACCTTGTCTCTGATTCTAGTACTGGTTCCCTCACATTTAAATCCTGGCCAGGTTGGTCAAGTCTGGTTGCCTGGATGTCCTTAGCTATTATTATATTAGGAACAATCGTTCCACCTTTTCTTAGACATGCTGAGACAATCAGGTTATCTAGAACCCAAATCCAGGCAGACCAAGCAAGGTTAAAAAAGCATATTAGTAAATGAAGCACAAAACTGATATAATTAATGACATAGGAAAATAACATGTTATGAAACAAACTGGTCACAAATAGTGGATAGAGGACTTCACTTCTGATAAAAAATTTAAAAGTACATATATAAAACACTGGAAGGTTATATATCAAAATATTTTAGTCTTTACTTCTTTTCAATGATTAAATATTTTTCCCTTTGCTTTTATGTATTTTCTGAAACATGATTATTTCTGAAACAGAAAAGAAAAACAAGTTATGGATAAAGAAACAGCTGTAAAATGTCAGGAGTCTAACCACCAAGGTCTAAACTCAGGACAGGTCTACCTACAAAGACAGTGATTGAACCCAGCTGCAAAAATATCATTCCTTTCTTTCTCTTCTGGAATGCTATTTATCAGACTGTTTTCTCTACGTTTGATGTTCTCAGTGCACTTATATTTAACAATAATCTATAAATATTAACTGGTACAACAGCAAAATGATGCTATCAACTTTGGTTTTAAATTGCTACAAAATGTAATAACCATTTTGTAGTTATGAGACAAGCTAGAACTAAAACATAAAACATAAATCAAGAGCTCCTACAACAAAAAACCCACATCTGACTAAAACCCTGCTCTTTCTGACCTCTGTTCATTTTCAATTTCACTGTAAATTTGCATTTCATAGATTGGGAAGAGGCAATTTCTCTCCCCAACCCCCAAAATGCTCTGTAGAGTTGAAAGGGCTCACAAAAATCCAAACCACCTAAAACAGATCTGAATGAGGACCCTATTTGTTTTTTAAAGGTCTTTGCTAAATTACCACATGGGGAATAGCCATTGCACCTACACTGGTGTAAATAAGGTTCAGAAGTCTGAGCTCTCCCCCCATTCCAAATAGAACTGCTAGGGCATTTTATTCAAATCATAACTCATATTTCTTGCTCTTAAAACAATAAAATTGGCAAAGGCTCATTATTTTAAATCTGTTATATATAAAAGTCGATGCCACCTTTAACTGAAGGTGCTTCTTAGGTATTTCCAAAAGCTCTTTGCCTTTTTACACAATAGCATTTTCAGGAAGGGTCAGGAACTACCACTGAGGTCCAAGAAACAACAAAAACCAAAAAAATAAACCGAAACATTTTCCTGCACTGTCCCCCACCACTGTTACCTCCTGCCCAGTATAGTAGGTCATCTGCTTTTTACAGCAGGTTAGTTAGCAACCCATGCTGCAGAAACTTTCAGCTACCAGGAAGAAAAGTTACAAAGAGGATGAAAAACAATGACAAATGAAAGGATAAAAACTATAATCACAACAAAGACCAAAAAGGTCCCTTGCTTTGTCCTTGCGAAATCAAGAAAAATTAGACTGTTTTATAACCCCAAATAAAAAAATGACTTGCTGGAAATACCAATGCTCAGTGCTTGCAACCCAAGTCAATTTATACTTGTTTGATCAGTCCAAATCCTAAAGTAAAATATTTCTTTGTTAGAGCAAGAACGAACATTTCACTTGAGAACAAGCTCTTGAAGATGAAAGGAAGGTGTGCCATCAGTGAGAGAACTGCCTGCTGTCGGAAGATTTCTTGCTGATGTGTTTGAAGATTTTGGACTTCTCGACTTTCTTCATTTTCTGGTAGCCGAATCCACCACCACCTCCTCTTTTTTTAAGCTTGCCGTCATTGCTGTTCACGTCTACAGGTGCATGTTAAGGAAATCAAGCAACACAAATATAAAACTCCAATCTAACACCTACACGGAGAACCAAGCAGCATGAACACTATTGTCCCCTTACCATAACCCCTCCCTGAACCATGAAAACATACGAACTTAGCCTATGCAACATATTTCCAGAAAATTTGTTCATGTAACTGCAGACTAAAATTAGCAGGTATGATTTCAAGTCCAGTGTAACAGTCAATAATAATTTTCTCCACACAAAAACCTCAAGACAATTACTTCTAAGAAGAGGTAAATCAAGTTTCTAAGAACACAAAAAATACTCCCCACATCAAAACAAATGACTTTCACCTCTGTTGAGGGCTAATTCAGGATTGCTTAAAAAAGTGGAGTTCTTTTTTTTCACATGATTCAACATGTAGGCATTTACTCAGTGCCTACGATGGGGTGGGGGGCAACCCAAATTTGTTTCTCCTTTGGAGTTATACTATAGCGTTATTGAACAGGCCTCACTTTAGCTGCTTTAGTTTCTTCTGCTAAAAGTGTGATAATGAAGCACAGATTATAAAGACCAACAGAATCAACTGCAGCTATTCCTTTCTGATTTTTGTCTTGAGTATCACTTAAGTTTTCTTCTGCTGATCTTGCGACTTCCTAATACAAATGGCTCTGAGAGGATAAAAGCCCTTTGAAAGGTCTGCCTTCTCTGTTCAGCCTCAGGGAATCCTGCTCCTCCACAGATCTCACACGGTGAAGCCTCAGAGGACCTCACATGGTGAAGCCTTGCAACTGCCTGAGAAACTCACAGAGTGAAGCTGTTACTGTTGGCAGTTAGCTAGATACTAATACAGAAAAGAGAGCAAAGGGATTTAGACATTGAGCTTAATAAACTGGGGAGCATAAACTGGTTTACTTCACCAGGAAACCACAGCTTCACACTCTAGGGGATTATGGCATTTCTCTGCCAGGGGGACTGACACTCCTCCCTTCCCCCTCCAATACCAGGTTGTTGAGTTTGACCATACAGGCCTGTCAATCTAACTAGAGGCTGGACCCATCAAAAAGCCTGCAAAAGCTTGGGCAATCAATTGCTTCTTTTGAAAAACAACCTGGTCCACCCCAAACCCATGCTAACATAATCCCAGGGGAACAAAGAAGCTTGTGCGTGCGCACGCGCGCTATCTCTCACCTACATTAGTCCAGTTTGTTCACACTCTCTCATGATCACCCAGGAGCACGTGGCCTGTGGATCTGGCAGCTGCAGGGCCTGACAGAAACTATGTGGGCTCCAAAAGACTAAGCTTTAATGTGAAGCAGAAACTCTGGACACTGGCTCTTATTTTGGCCTTGCTGAAGACACAATGGGACTTTTTCCATGGCAGGACAGACACAGAGGGGACACAGGGCCGGCCTTCCACAATACACCGTCTCGCCACACCACAGTCTCCCTGCATGGGTTCTTAGAATGTTTTCCTCACAATCCCATGAAAAGCCTGATTTCCACCGAAAACAAAGCCTTGTGATAGCCTGAGGAGCTCACACAGTGGAGCTTTGCAATTCCCTGCCCCCTCTGCTTTTCTCCAGATTACACAGCGATCGGGCTCTGTCTGCCAGTCAAATTCCTTTGTTTTTTAAGGCCCAAGTCAAAACCTGTTTTGTTAAGTAATCCTCACTCCCAAAACTAATCCCTGCTTCCTGACAAGCAGTGACCAAGCTGGACACTGTTCCTCCAGTAACCAGCAAGAGCACACACTGACCCAGTGTTAAGCCCAAATACCCCTGTCAAGCTTTTGTCCCATAATTCCTGCATGAATTCCTAACAACGAAGAAAAGGATACTCAGATCAACAAAAGGAGGCACCTTGAAACCAAATGACAGAGCAACTTGAGGCAAGTTTAAGTTATTAACATTAAAGATCTGTTTCAGAGAATGGGAATCATATGCTCGAATGTATGATTTATATGCTTCCTGGGCTGACTTATGAAGAAAGTAGTTCTTTTCAATCAATTTTTCGAGCTGAAAAGGAAAGAAACATTGGTTTTAATAAGATAACAGATTTCACAGATATTAGAAAACCACCCTACAAAAGTGTTTGTCCCAATACTCTTGTTCCAAGCTTTTTAATATTTGCAAAATTATGCCACAGAAAGATTAATTACAAAGTTCCGGTATGCTATGGCCTGAAACAATATAGAGATAGAAATGTGATAATCAGCATAGCAAGAAACCTGAAGGATCGCACAGCCCAAACCTCTCATTAATAAAAAAGGAGTCTCGCCCTGGCTGCGTGGCTATTGGTTGGAGCGTGGTGCTGTACACCAAAAGGCTGAGGGTTTGAGCCCTTGTCGGGGTGCTTACAGGAGCCAACCAACTGATGTTTCTCTCTCCCTCCCCACCCTCTAAAATCAATAAACATATCCTTGGGGGAGGATTAAAAAAAATAAATAAAAAGGGAGATGAGGAGGATGATTGCCAATGTAACACTACAGAGGCAATGCTGGAAGGAGGCTGAGACAGACAAACCAACCAACCTGAGACTGAATGTCAGAAATTTTGGACCAGGAAAACTCAAATTCACTTAATGGTACCTAGAAAACAAAAGCGTGAAGATTAATAAACTAGGGTGGATCAACATTTAGATGTTTAGATGATGAGATATGTGAAAAACTGACAAGCCCTACAAGCAGTTGAGAAATGATGGAGTCAGACAGTGATGGCGTCAGTGCAGCTCATTAGGCATGGAAAAGGGGACAGGACAACCCAGCCTGCGGGACTCCTCTGGCACGGACACCTACTCCCCTCTGCCCTCCCCATGCCAATGGAAGAAAAGTCTTATCTTACTTCTGCAAACCATACATAACTTGTACTAAAGAACCTTCCTAAAAGGAAGGTGAGGAATTTTATAGGGACTAGTCAATGAAGCCCTTTTCTCTTAAACACGGATCTCCCTGGTGATGAAGCAGCCCAAAGCTGCCAGTCGGGAGACCGACTAGCTCGAAATCCATGTGTCAGGAGATCTGCCCTCTAACTGGAGTCAGTGACACCAGATATCATGATGACCACAGACTCCTACAGAATGGGTTTCTGACCAGCCATCACTAACTAGATAACTGGAAGAGTGCTACACCTGTACTAGGTGCTGGGGGGCAGGCAGGAACAGCTACCCAGGCTACAGGCCCTGCCCTCAGGAGAGCTTGCAGTCTTACAGGGAGACAGATGAGAGGCAACAACTCAATGAACACTCCTGCTGGGGGAATGTGAAGGCAGGCAGGAGTCAGTGATGGCTCCCCAGAAGAAGACAGCTTCCTGAAACTGAGGCAATCTAGAGAACCAAGAAAAGGGCATTTCATAGGAAAAGTCCAAAATGTGTAGGGCAGTTTCTGAGAACTACTCCTCGTTGCTGAATGGAAGAAAATGCACTTGGCAAGACTGCCAGGGAAGCCAACAGAAGGTAGATGACAGGAAAGAGAAGGCCTGATAAGCATTCACAACATCTAGCAACAAAGAGGCCACTTATAATTCTAATGGATTCAGATTTGGTGGGATAGAATGAAGCCAAAGTCAGATTAGGGTGGGTGGACAACAGGGTGAACGGAAAACAAACGGGGAGAACAGGAACCTTTTTTCAAAATGGTAGACTGAATAAAAGTAACAAGCAGAGCCATGCTGGAAGTGGTGGTGGGAGAAGGGGTTTAGTGTTGAAGTTATTTTTCTTAGTGAAAAGACTTGAGATGGTAAAGAGCTAACTGTAAGGGCGAGCCTAAAGGAAAAGCACAGTTGATGAATGAGGGAAAGGAAGAGAGAAAGACCAAGGAGCGGTAGATTCCCCACTGCTTCAGGTGAGGTAAGAGAGAAAGGCACTAGGAGTAAAAAATGCAGAGAAGACTGTCGGAAGGGGAGCAGGAGGCAGAGACGGTCAGATGTGAGGGAGCTTTGAAGTGTGGAGGTGGTTTCAAGCAGGATGTAGGGAACAGGGAAGGAGAGACGAGGACACAAGATGCCCTGTTGACCAACGCAGCACAAGTATTGAGCCACATGAGTTGTTCTCTCTGTTCACCTTTCTTGGGCCAGACCCACAGGAAATCTCATTTGTTTACCTCTGTAACAACAGTTCTAATAACACTGCAATAAACCATGACTCCTTGGACACTGCTAGAAATGGTGCTTCAAGCCGCCTGCACTGGCCAACAATTCCTAAACCAAGAGGAATTCGTCCCTAACATAAGGTTATCCAAGCAAAGATCTTTACCTTGGACTGTTTTAAGTAACGAAGGAAACCAAGTTCTTCAGGGCGCAAAATGAGCAAGGCATGTCCCCTTCCATTTAGGCCTCTGGCTGTTCTTCCCACACGATGAATGTATTCCTTTGGTGGAGAGAGAAAGCTGTGTTCACACCAACTGCGACAGGTTGCATGTCCAGGACTTGTGTGGCACTGGCCACAAGCATGTCTATACCTCTTTCTGAGGGTCCCCTCCCCCAGGGCTGTTGCCAAAGTTGAGCCCATCATTCCTCCTCCATGCTCCACAGTCAAAGAGGTAACAGAGTGATGACTGAGTCCAAAGGAAAGCTGGACATGTTAGTCACATGAACTCTATGACCTAATAAAATGTCCAGTATGTCTCATCCTCAAACTGGCTTTCTGAAACATGTTTAAATGCTGGGTTACAATTTATATAATGTATTGTTTGTTGAAAATAATAAACTTATTTTACTACACATATTATAGTCTTATCTATCTCTGTAAGCAAATTTTATTTCCTTTTGACACCTACTGCTCTTAACAAATCATTCCAAGCACATAACACTCCTAATTTAAGTTCCACTGCCGCCTCTCAAATCATTTTACATTACACCCTTTGGGTCCTGCAAAAGCCCTAAATACTATCAGCACCAGAGAAATATTATAGAGTTACTGTACAGTAAAACATGTCTTGCCTAACTAAGGAATAAACCTTTGAACGTGAAATGGAGTATTTCTTAGGGAGCCTGGAGAGTAAGAGTGCTCCTTAATGTAGCCATTCTGAGAAACCCCAAGGGTGCCAGTTACCTTGGGGTCATCTGGAGGGTCATACTGAACAATCCAGTCGACTTCAGGAATATCCAGCCCTCTAGCTGCCACATCTGTGCACAACAATATCCCCGTATCTGCATTGCAAAACTGGAAGAATGTGGTCGTACGTTTATTTTGCTTCTGCCTTCCCTAGAATCAAATCAAAACATCCATTAGCACTGGAAACTGGAGGCTGTTTTTGGGAGGTCTAGGTGCGGAACCTCCAAACTGTGGAGCTGCGAACCTACTTTATTTCAACTTCACTCCCTGGCCTGCATCCTACTTTCCTAAGTAGGTGATGTCTCTTATTCCTTTGTGGTTCTCAGCCCTCAACACCCAGCAAAGCTCCCTCCACACAGGATCAATCACCCAATGTTGACTGACCTTTTTTTTAGAAAAGAGTAATACCTCAAACACCACAATCTATGTAACTTGATAAGCACAACCTGTTTTTAATAAACTTCATAACCACTTTAAATACTTACATGGATGGCCAATACAGGCAAATCGATGTAGTTTAGCAATTCGTAGTGGTATTTCACAGACATACAAGATGAAAAGAAGACCATTAGTTTCTTCTTCCGGTTCTTTTTAAGGAACGTAAAGAGCAGGAGGAATCTCTTTTCAGAAGGACAAACAACATATCCCTAGATGTAGTTGGAATGGACAGATACAAAATAACCAAATGGACATTTTCAGCTGCATGAGCCAATAACTTGATGAATGCACTGATAAACATTGCACGCACACTTATGCTTTTCCTGTAAGTAAAATTATGCCATCATCCCAACAAAGCATTCCTAAAATAAGACTATTTTAAACTTTCTTGGTTCCTTTTACACACTGTAATCACTGGACACTAAATTCTTTTCATATTTCTGAGATTACTGGTTATTAACAGTTCTTGCAACCATAATATATTAACACCTCTACTAACTGGAACTCTCAAGATATAGCAATGATTCACTTTTTGAAAGGCCTTTAATAGCAAGATCTCAACCACAGCCTGGGTGCATAAGCCTAAACAAGATAACAAAGGTGGATGAACATATTTTTAAAAACCAAAAACCAATGGAAAGTTTTTAAACTAAACTGTTACAGAAAATATTTTATTCATCAAAGACTCTATCTAAAGTTCTATTCTTAATCAATTTAGTTTGGATCTTTATCACCTCATTTCCAATTTTCCACAGCTGCATGCCTGAAACCAATCTCCATCTTCTAACTTACCTCTCATCTCAGAGCAAGAGATTATTAAAACAACAAATTTTTTTTTTTTTTTTTTTTTACTCCATCAATAAATGGTAGTAGCCAATAATGCTTCCTACATGGCAGGCGGTACCAAGAGAGAGTAAAGACAGATGATTAAATTATTCAGAGTTCAAGATACTTTAACCAGGAGAGCTGGAGACCCAATACCCAAGTTCACGATATTTGAATTAGAAGTTCAATAACCCACCTGCTTTCTGGAACATACTCCAAACAATTACAAGGAAACAACAAAGAATAAAAAATCCTTAAAATTTAAGATACTCATAATAAGTACCTGCTCAAGACCATCCACTGTTGCATTAGCTTTATCATCATCAACACCAACATACAAAGGCTCCTTTTTCAGAGAAATCCTTGCCAAGTCTTCAACTTTTCGAGTTTGTGTGGCAGAAAAGAGCATCGTCTGTCTGCGTGCTGAAAGAGATACACATAAAAATAACCTAAATCTTTCAGGGAATCCTTAGAACTGCTCTATAACTACAAATGCTCCTAAGTAAAACTATCAAAAATGGGAGATGTGATAGCACTACAGATATTAAGTGAATTATCATGAGCAACTTTATGTTCATTAATTTGACAACTTAGATGAAATGCAGTTTCCTTGAAAGATAAACTGTTAAAGGTTACTCAAGAAGAAACAGAAAACCTGAACAGCCTCCTATCTATTAAAGAAATTGCACTTAAAATCTTTATGCAAAGAAAACCCCATCCCCAATGGTCTCTAGTGGTGAGCTCTAACATGTAAGGAAGAAATACTACCAGTTCTTCACTAACTCTCCAGGACACTAAAGGGAATTTAGCTCCCCACGTATTCTCTGAAGCCCGCCATTACCCTGATACCAAAACCCAACAATGACTCATGAGCACAGGTGCAAAATTTCTAAACAGAACTTTAGTAGAGTGAATCCAGCAACATACAAAAAGGATAATGCATGACCAAGTAGGGTTTACTCCAAGAATACAGGGTTGGTTGTTTTAACACTTAAAAATTAACTAGTATAATATACCATATTAACTAAAGAAGAAAAAAATCTGATCATTTCAACAGACACATAAAAAGCTTTTGGCAAAATTTAACATCTATTTCTGAATGGGAAAATCTCAGCAAACTAGAAACAGAAGGGATGATCCTCAATTTGAAAAGGGGCATTGACAAAAACACCCTACGGCTAACATCATACTTTATGGAGAGAGAATGAATGCTTTCCCTTCTAATATCAGAAATAAGATTCCCCTCTAATGATCAGGCATAAGACAAAGATGTCTTCAGTACTATACTGGAGGTTCTTGCCAGTGCACTTAGGCAAGAAAAATATTTAGTCAATTTAATTGACTTTTTAAATTTGTAGATGACATGATTGCCTTTGCAGAAAATCCAATGGCTGGCCTCATCTGAGGGGTCACGCTGAACAATCCAGTTGAACATAGAAATAATTACCTTGCCAGACATAGGATGGATACAAAAAAATCAACTATTATGAACATACAATAAACAATTTGAAATTGAAATTTTAATGAAATACTTAGGGATAAAGCTAATGAAAGATGTGAAAAAACCTGTACTCTGAAAACTAAAAACACTGTTGAGAGAAGTCAAGGAGCTAATAAATAGATATACCTTATTCATGGAATGAACTGACTCAATATTGTTTTCTACCAATAATCTACATTCAATGTACCCCTAATCAATCAGACTTTTTTTAGGGAGTACATACTGACAAACTAATTCTAAAATTTATATAGAAATGCAAAGGATAAGAATAGCCAGAACAATTTTGAAAAAGAACAAAGGAGTTAATGCTACCTAGTTTTAAGACTTAACAGGTAGAACTGGAACTCCTGTACACTGCTGATGGGAATATAAAATGGTAGCAGATAAATATACACTAGCCACTGTATTTCTCAATAGGTACCCAAGAGAAAATAAAATATTCGTCCATAAAAAAGAGCTGTAGATGAATTTTCATTGCAACTCATAAATCTCTAGAAAAACCAAACTTAGCTAGTGACGAAAGCAGGTCAACAGTTGCCTGGGAGAGAGCTGTGTGTGTGAACGGCTGTTCGACATAGATGAAGGTCGCTCCTACTGAGGTGGAGAGGGATTACAAAGGTGCATGAATGGTTATGAAATGCCTGAGGGCTATGGACATGTTCACTATATAGATGTGATGATGGTTTCACAGGTGTAACATCAAAGTTTATCAAATTTTATATTGAAAATATGAACAGATTACATCATTTACGTCGGTAAAGCATTCAAAAGGATATTGTACAAGGAATGCAATAATGGCCTTATTACAGATATAAGCAATTTATGATGTTACATGTACTATAATCAAGGTATGTACAACTCAAATATCACACAGAAGACAACAAGTCTATGGCTCCCTAGGAGATCTTAGATGAAGAAAAAGGAAGATTGGGTGGCGGGAGGGGCGGGGCGGGGGGAGTTGGGGGTGGACAGGAACGAGAGGTAATACCATTTAACTTGCATTAAACCTCTAAAATGGCAAAACCACTGTATTAAGTTACTAGTAAGTTTGATGTTTATATTGTAAACTACCTCCAAAGTTAATTGGCACAGTTACTTCATCTACTCTATTAAAATTCTGGTATTAATAGTTTTCATATAGGAACAACCCTTGCCTGCTTCTAACAACTATGTTGCAAACCACATGCAGATGCTACCCACTTACTTGGCAGAAGTTTAATAATTTGCTTTAATTCCTCTTCAAACCCAACATCCAAGATACGATCAGCTTCATCAATAACCAGACACTGTAAATTTTTATACATAAATCCTGGAGTATTCTAACAAGACAAAGGACAAAGAAACACTGTTAGCTGTCAAGGTTGTTTCACAAACGAGAATGAGACAGGCACTACACACCATCATTCTCTTACCTGCATATGGTCCAGAAGACGGCCTGGTGTAGCCACAATGATGTTGATCCCATTAGCGAGTTTCTGTGCTTCAGCGGATCTGTTACTGCCACCCATTATTAATCCGTATGTGTGGACATGGTGTGTCATTAGCTCTTTAAGAACACCAAAAGTCTGCATGGCCAGTTCCCTAGTAGGTGAGAGAATAAGAACTCCTGTTCCTAAAAAGCAAAAAATGATATATGGTAAAAGTCAAACTGTAATTATGATGAGTTCCTAACAGCTACAATAAACTTCTAGTGAGACAATGGCAGAAACAATGGGATCAAAGGCTTACCATTCCTGGGCATAAACTTTAACTTAACAATGAGTTCCACTGCAGGGATGAGAAAGGCCAGGGTTTTGCCACTGCCTGTTTTTGCAGCTGCGAGAAGATCCCTGAATATGAAAAAGGGAGAGGAGTGGAGAGACTCAGTCTACTCATTCATCAGAACAGGATTAAGAAAAGGTTACTACCTTATCTATCACTGAAATCAATCGCCTGGGTAAAATACCTAACTTAGAAATAAGAATCGTAATAGGACACAGAAGTGAACACTTTTTCAAACATCAGTAATTAAAGACTTTCATGCTAGTTGGATATGTAAATCAACATATAGTGCAAAATCAACAGAACATACTGGTCCTTTCTTTCCAAACTACTAGCACTAAAAATAGAAATACCAATGGTCAAACATCAGTAAGTATTAATCATACCTGCCTTCCAGAAGTGGTTTGATACTTTTATGTTGAATTTCAGTCATGTTTGTAAAGCCCATTTCTTTTATTGCCTTCAGTGTGTTCTCATTGACAAGGTTAGATAGGGAAGCAAATGAAGTATCCTCAAAAGCTCCTAAACAGAAGGTAGTTTATTATCAGCACACATATATCATTTTTAATAGGTGATATAGCTAGATTTGCCTAACTTAGTTTTGCAGATTGAAAGCGTTACTGGGTTGGAATCAAGCTTACAAAAGCTTTCTCCACTAATACTAAATCCCAACCATTTCTACGTAACATTAAAAAAAGGACCCTATACTTTAAAAATGTCTCCTCTGCTGATGGTTGTGTAATTTAAAGTCCAGAGCCCATACTGTAACAAAACAATGAAGGAGGGAGAGGAGGTATAATCAAGGGGCTTGTATGACATGAAAATACCAAGGGTCGGGGTGGGGACAAGAGCTCAGAGAGAGAAAATGTTTAAGCAATCTGAAATAAAAAGTGAAAACAATCATGATAACAAAAACCAAGTGTGAAGTCAATCAAAAGAGTGGTTAATCTCACTCCCAAAAGACAACTGAGTCTGACAGAGGCAGACTACTGGGCTGAACCTCCATATCAGGTGTGCAGTTCTTCAGCACGGGAAGCATCAATCCCACCTGGGAGACAAAACTGCCCTGGTTGAGAACTACTGCCATAACCTTTGCAATTATAATTATGCAGCTCTGGGGTTGGGTTTCAGTATTTTAACAAAAAGCCCAAACCAAACAACTCAGGTAACTCCCAGACATTTTTGGTTAGGCGCAACTAATTCTACTTTAAATTCTTGAGTTCACAGATATAGAAACAAAGGCCAAAGGAGGTTAACCTGGCACAAGTTCTTCAGTAATGTTAATTCCTTCCTCCCCCTTCCTTCTCAGTAACTAAGCCAGTATAAAACCTCTGATATCCAGCCTTCTGGCCAATAATTTGCCTACTACAACATGCAGCTTTAGACAATGATAAACCAAAGGAACAAAGGACCCCAGAAGCTGTTCGTGTGTATTTTAAAAATGTTGTAAGAGAAAAACGGAGAAACAAAAACTAAGATACATAATATGGAAGATAGAATCACTTGAGATGTACAACATTTCAAGTCGATCCCTACTTTTTCCAGGTAAAAGTCACAATTGGAACTTTAAATCTTTTAATGCGAAGAGGCATGACATTTTTAAGGTCTATCTGGAAAATCTTCTAGAAACTACCTGTCAGTCCCAGGGGCAGGCTGGGTATTTCACTGTCCTCTTCTCCATTGTCTGGCTTCTCAACTCTGGTTTCTGTTTCTTCTGGAGCCTGAGCACCTTCTTCAGATTCCCCTTTGTCTTCGGTTTTTGCTTTTTTGGAATCTTTGGTTTTAAAAAACAAACACCTCATTTTTTTTTCTTGAAATAAAAATACCAAATGAGATCACAAAATAAAAGATGTGTGATGAAAAGAGGCATATTTTCAAAAGTAAACACATTTTCAGTTTTAACTTGCTAAGAATTTTTTTTCATAAAGACTTAGTTATATTAAAAAACCCAATAGGACATCCAAATTTGCCAACAAAACTTTCTTAAGTAACCATTTTTTTAAAAAAAAAGTCTAACTAAGCAATTTAACTATTCTAATTTCACCAAGTTCTGTATACTTCATTGAGAGAAAAAAAGCATATCATTAATTTTTTTTTTTAAACTTGTTAACAAGTACTAATTTTCCTCCCATGCCATTAAGTTTTCTATAAAAGCTAATTTTGTTTTAAAGATGAACAGAAATACCTAAGGTCCTTCATGTCACTAAAGATAAGACTACAAAGCAGGGGTAACAATGTACGTCGCTGGGTGACAGAAACTTCCCTGTGCCTTGAATGTAAGTGGTCAGGGAAGAAAAGGTAAGGCCTTCTGGCTTTTTACTTTTATATTCACAACTGTCATCACATTCTTCAATGTTTCTCTGAGTAAAGTGGGTTAACTATCATCCTGGGCTTTTATCAGTTTACAGTAGTTAGTGATACTGGTTATAGACCAGACCAGAACTCAGGACTCTGTAGCCCCCAAATGGCTTCTTCCTTAGACTTTACTACCATCCTTCTGGGAAATGGTAAACTCTGCAGGACCCACACGTTCAAAAGCCATGGATATCAGCAGCTGGTCTTCATGACTCATCACTTCTATTTTCCTTAAAATAGTCCTTAAAACTCCAGACCTGCAATTCATTGCTTGAGAGTAGAAATAAATCAGCATCTTAGACATATGTAGAAAAAGAATCCTAAAGGCACTAATAACTTTAGAACACAATGACAGTCACTTTTAAATAAAAACTGGAAGGTCTTATCTTCATGCTTTTCTCTATCTTGTTTCACTTTTTGGCTATGTAATTTATAACCTATAAGTGTATTAGTCTGTAAAGAGCATGAAGACAGCTGTGCATGTTTGGAAAAGTTCAAAGCTCCTTTCTAAATGAAAGCTTTATTTCAGCTAAAACATACACAGAAAATTCTAACCCAGGTGTTGGCAAAACTTTTGTTTAAAGGGTCAGATAATAAACATTTTAGGTTTTGCAGGCCATATGGTCTCTGCCACCATAAAGACCAAGTAAACAAATGGGTAGTGCAGTGTTCCAGTAAAGTTTTTTACAAAAATAGGGAGAAGGCTGAATAGTTTGCTGACATCTGTTCTGTCCTCCCTTGAAATATCTGCTGGCTCATATCTCAATTAAAATGCCTTTCCTTTCACCTAAGCTTATTCAAATCCAATCATCTTCCAAAAGAAAACTTCACTTCGGCCTCAATACCATCCTGGTCATTATACTCACTTGGAAATTAATATTCCATTTATCCAAACATTTCCTAACTGCTATTTTGTACACTTTGCATGACCAAATTATCACTGACTCTCCTTTCAAAAGGAAGAAACTTACGGTAGACTAAAGGAATGGGGCAAAAAACAGTTAAGTGAAAAGAACCATTAATGCAAAGGCCTGAGAACATAGATTCTACTGCCAGCCGGGATTTCTGGAGTACCAACAATTCCACAGTTCTGTTTGTAAACAGGTAAACTTAAACTACTATGCCACAGTATGTTCTGTTTACCACAGAAAACCCTGCTAACAGAAGAGCAAATTTCTAGATGACTAAGGAGATTCTAAAGTGTGAGGTTTTATTTAAGGTTGTTAAGGAATGTAAAGGCATGACACATTGTTCAGTATTTTCAGAAAAGTTAAAAGTTAACCCCCCTCCTCCCCGCCATGTTTTCTTTAGCTTCCAGGCTAGTTTCTAATATATTAGTGAGCATAGGGGCTTCTTGCATGTAATGTGGGCACAATAATAGATAAAGGAAGAACGATACCGAAAAACAGTTTAAACAGCTTAAATTAAAAAATGAAGTACTTACTAGGCCCATGATCATCCGCCATTTTTCTCTTTTTCTTCTTCTTCTTCTTAGATTCTGATTTGGGAGACTGCATTGCTGCTTCTCCATTGGTTAATACGGTAGATTTCTTGGGGGATATTTTAACTTCTACATTTTCCACTTTTTCTTTAGATCTACCTCCGTTTTGGGCTTCTGACAAGCCCTTACTCATAGACCGCTTTAGGGATTTTTTAACTTTTCCACTTCCCACTGTTTCTTCAGATTTGTCTCCATTTTGGGCTTCTGATAAGCCTAATTTCATAGATTGTTTTAAGGATTTTTTAACTTTTCTACTTCCTACTGTTTCTTCAGATCTATCTCCATTTTGGGCTTCTGATAAACCTGCCTTCATAGATTGTTTTAAGGATTTTTTAATTTTTCCACTTCCTACTGTTTCTTCAGAGACATCTCCATTTTGAGTTTCTGACAGGCTCGCAGTCCAGGCTCCTGTTTAAAAACAGATAACAACACATTGTAATAAAGAAGTAGTTTACTTAGAAACACCGTAATCCCAAATGAGAAATTCCATGACTTCCAGAACTGAAATGATTTAACTTTTACTTCCCTTTCATAAACACTAAGTCCTCACTTAATGTCATTGATAGCTTCTTGGAACTACAACCAATTTTACATTGGCTAATTGATATTTATAAATGAGTTCCTATGGCATCTTATTAACGTTACAACTAACGACACTGAACAAAACGGTATTATTCGAGGACCTGCCGTTCATCATTACAACCACTTGCAACTTTATGATGTTGTACTACAGGACAAGTAAATTTCCTTTATGAAAGAATACTGTAAAAGTGAAAGCTGCATCTCACCTCAGAGCACCACCATCTCTGTCCTTAAGAAGTTAAAAGTCCGGGACAAGAAAACTTCATGAGGTTAAACATTTAAAGAGCTAGGGCTAGGCAATAGTAGTTACAAAAGATACATTTTAGTATTAGGTATTTGATAAATATATGACTAACATATATTAGAAACAACTTACATCTTATTCACACTATTGTCTCTCATATAGATACAACTTCAAAATATTCACCCTCAACTTTCCTAGATGTTAGTAAACTGAAAATTGCTGATGAAATCACACATTTGTCCCAGTACTTACATAAACTACCCAAGAATGTCTTTATAAAAGTTTCCACGTTCATATACAGAAAAAGATAACACCATCTTTTATTTTAACCATCCCTTTAACTACCAAAAAGTAGTTAGTAACTGGAAGTACAAAGGAATCTCAAAAATACTATTTCTAAAACCCACAAACCTCTCTCCCCCAGGGTTCTTCCAATAAACTAATCTCTCTTGAAAACCAATTGGGTAAAGCATTAGTCCTCAAAAAACTGCCTTTGCGGGTTTACATCTTATTATACACAACTCAAAACTCTTACTCTGTACAACTTCAATTACCACTGGCCCACTGTCAGTAATTTAGGTAAGCAAGGTGATATTCAGGTAAAATCCTTTTTATATGTCTTTGTGAAAGATACAAATATGTAGAAGCCCTTAAGAAATGTATAAACTCAAGTAGGAAGTGATGGGAAGATAGGACTGGACAGAGGCTTTGCGTTCGACGGGGACACAGGACACTTTTAGAATTGTAAATGCCTGAGTGCAACAGGAGTAGACAGCAAGTGGACATGGACAGGGGAAGGCAACGGTATCAGGTGACCTGTATGAAAAGGGTGACAATGAGTTTCTTTTGAAAACATTATACATTAAATATTATAGATAATGTGAATGTAACCTGCATTGAGATAAAGTCCCACGTGTCTAATCGGATATGGGTGAGAAGCGGAGACGAGGTGGGACCTGAAGGTGGTGAGGGAGTTGGAATGGGAAGTAGAGGTGGAAAAGGCTGGTGAGAAAGTCACGACAGATGTGAGGCCACGGCCGAGTCGGCACCAGCTCGGGACACGACTCGAGGCTGCCCCAGGCTGCCTTTCACTCTCAACAAACACACGTGCTCTCAGGGACGCTGCCCGCGCCATACCGGGGCTGCGGTGACACTCGAGGAGCTCCACGGCTATGCGGGGGCTCCCACAGCCACAGAGGCGCCGCGAAGCTTAGCGCATCTCACCCTGTAGCTTTAGGTTTCGCTGCCGCAATTTGAGGTTCCGCTTCTCGATCTTCTTGCGCAGGAGTTTCATCGGTAGATGATACATGTTGCTGGAACGCCTTCACGGCAGCGCCACAGCCGAGCTTCTCGTCTCCTGGATTACGTTACTTCCTCTCCGGTAACACGTGAGCAGCTTGGCGAACAGGTAATACATCACAGGAAACGCTCGTGGCCTGTGACCCGAAAATTGTGTCCCGAAAAATGTGTCCCGGGAGGCAATGCTTCCGGGCGCGTGTGCCGTGCTACCCTTGCAGACCGGATTCTATGCAGCGCCCCCTGGGGGCGTGGAGGCCTGAGCCTATGCGGGGTTCACGTTGTGCCAGGGCTGACAGGGCATCTAAGCTGCTGGGAGTCTTGGTAGAATGAGGAGACCCAAGCAACAAAGAGCACCGGAGACCCTTAGGGAGTCTCTAGTTTTATGTTCTCGCTCTCTTTGGACCCTGGGCAATTAGGGAAATCGAGTTTTTTATATTTGTGTGTGTGTTTCCAAACTTGTTTCTCCCCTTTCCCTTAGAAATATACTTTCCTTGCCGTTTGGTACACAAGGTCACATAAATATAAAATTTCTCAAAACAGCACCCTTACTCTTGTGTTTCACTCATATTAGTCTTTCCATTCCATTCATTCCATCATGCATTATTCTACTCGGGACCATTAAAAATTCACATCACTATGCCTTTAAAATTGTATCACTTCAATATTAATGTGTTGGCTGCAGTTTGAAAAACAGGTTTATAAATCCCCAAAGCTCACTCATAGATCCTCTAGGAGTGAAGAACAGAAATATATAGTTTATATAGTTTGGCTGTAAGTAGGCCACTTATTTTAATTTATCTGCTTTCTGTGTGTGTGTGTGTGTGTGTGAGAGAGAGAGGGAGAGGGGTGTATAGAATGTTTAATTAAAAAAAATAGTTACAACTGTAAACAAATCGGGACTTCTTATAGAAGTTGATATTTTTCTTTAAAAATGTGCCCAATTCTGCTTGGCAGTAACCAATTTGGACTGAACTATAATAAGAAGGGTCAATGAAACCTGCATTGATTTGTTTTCTTGTAGAGGCAGAGTAAGAGCTGATGGGGAGTAGACATGATCACAGGAAAGAAGGGAGAGGAAGAACTTGGGGCCAGTTTAAGGAGAAGATGAATGAATTGACTGAGAAATCACATTGAATTGGTCTGGAAAACCAAGACAAACAAATCATGATGTGCCTAGATTGTTTATGAGTAGGCAGGCTAAAAGATGAGTCACAAATTTAAACTGGCTTGCACACACACAGCCACACGTACACACACATGTATATCACAGTGTAAATATATATCAGTTTATATATATGTGTTTACATTGTATTGTTTATATTTTAATTTTTTGTATAATTTTTCCTTTTGAAATTATATTTTATTGATTATGCTATTACAGTTCTCCTGATTTTTCCCCTTTTGCCCCCCTTCACCCGGCACCCCCTTCTTCCTTAGGCAATCCCCCAACCATTGTTCATGTCCATGGGTCATGTGTATAGGTTCTTTGGCTACTCCATTCCTATACTGTACTTTACATCCTCATGACTATTTTGTAACTACATATTTGCTGCTTCAGTCCCTCACCTCTTCACCCATTTTCCTCCTCCCGCCTCCTATCTGGCAGCCTTCTAGTAACTAACTTCCTTTCTCTTGGGTTTTTTTTTGTTTTTTTTTTGCTCAATTCATTTCATTTATTATGAGTGCTGAGATTTACAATATTGTAAATCTCAGCCACCCCCACCTCCCACCCTCAAGCCTTCCCCACTTTGGTTTTGTCCTTGGGTCCTTTATACATGTTCTTTGACTTGACCCTTCCCCTTCTTTTCCCCGTTTCCTCCTCTTGCTCACCCTCTGGTAATTTTCAGTTTTTTATTTCAGTGTTGCTGGTTTTATTTTGTTTGCTCATTTGTTTTGTTGATTAGGTTACACTTACAGGTGAGATCATATGATATTTGTCTTTCACCCCCTGGCTTATTTTGCTTAGCATAATGCTCTCCAGTTCCATGCACGCTGTGACAAAGGGTAGTAGCTCTTTCTTTCTCCTGCATAGAATTCCATTGTGTAAATGTACCATTTTTTAAATTTTTTTATTTTTTAAAGTGTAAATGTACAATTGTTTTTTGATCCCCTCATTTACTGATGGGCACTTAGGTTGCTTCTAGCACTTCGCTATTGTAAATTGTGCTGCTATGAACATTGGGGTGCATAGGTTCTTTTGAATTGGTGTTTCAGGATTCTTGGAGTATAATCCCAGAAGTGGAATCACTGGGTCAAAAGGCAGTTCCATTTTTAGCTTTTTGAGGAAATCCCACATTATTTTCCACAGTGGCCACACCAGTCTGTTTTCCCACCAACAGTGTACTAGGGTTCCCTTTTCTTCACAACCTTGCCAGCACTTGTTGTTTGTTGATTTGTTAGTTATGGCCATTCTGACCAGTGTGAAGTGGCGTCTCATTGTGGTTTTAATTTGCATTTCTCTAATGGCTAATGATGCTGAGGATCCTTTCATATGTCTCTGGGCTCTGCATGTCCTCCTTGGAGAAGTGTCTGTTCATGTTCTTTGCCCATTTTTTAATAGGATTGTTTGTCTTTCTGGAGTTGTTTTGTGTGAGTTCTTTATGTATTTTGGAGATAAAACCCTTGTCCGAGGTATCATCAGCATATATATTTTCCCTTATGGTTGATTTCCTTTTCATTTTGCTGATGTTTACTTTAGCATGTCAGTGAAAATATTGCTGCATGGAATATTTAAGAATTTCTTGCCTATGTTTTCCTCTAGGACTTTTACAAATTTTATATAAGTCTTTTATCCATCTTGAATTTATTTTTGTGTATGGTGGAAGCTGGTAGTCGAATTTCATTTTTTTTTGCATGTAGCCATCCAGCTCTCCCAACACCATTTGTTGCAGAGGCTATTTTTATTCCATTTTATGCTTCTGCCCCTTTTGTCAAATATTAATTGACCATAGAGACAAGGGTTTATTTCTGAGCTCTCTATTCCATTCCATTGATCTATGTGTCTGTACATATGCCAGTACCAGGCTCTTTTGATTACAGTGGCCTTGTAATACAGTTTGATGTCAGATATTGTGATCCCTCCTACTTAGTTCTTCTTTCTCAAAATTGCTGCAGCTATTTGGGGTCATTCATGGTTCCATATAAATTTTCAAAATGTTTGTTCTATATCTGTGAAATATGTGATTGGTATTTTAATAAGGATTGCATTGACTTTATAAATTGCTTTTGGTAGTATGGACGTTTTGATGATGTTAATTCTTCCAATCCACAAACAAGGTATATGCTTCCATTTATTTGTGTCTTCCTTAATTTCTTCAGTCTTGTGTAGTTTTCTGTGTACAGGTTTTTTATCTCCTTAGTTAGGTTTATTCCTAGGTACTTTATTTTTCTTGTTGCTGTAACAAATGGGATTTTTTCCCTGATTTCTGATTCTGATATTTCATTGTTTGTGTACAAAAATGCCTTCAATTTCTGAATATTGACTTTGTATCCTGGTGTTTTGTCAAATTCACTTATTAGGTCAAGTAGTTTTTTTGGTGGAGGGTATCGGATTTTCTTTGTACACTATCATGTGATCTGCAAACAATGATAGATTTACTTCCTCCTTTCCAATTTAGATGCCTTTTATTTCTTTTTCTAGTCTGATAGCTGTGGCTAGGACTTCTAATACTATGTGAAATAGATATGGTGAAATTGGACATCCTAGTCTTGTTCCCAGTCTTAGTGGGAAAGACTTTATTTTTACCCATTGAGTATGATGTTGGCTGTAGGTGTTTCCTATATGGCCTTTATTATGTTGAGGTATGCCCCCTTTATTCCCACTTTGCTGAGTGTTTTTATCATAAATGGGTGCTGTACCTTATCAAATGCGTTTTCCACATCTATTGTTACGATCATATGATTTCTGTGTTTCCTTTTGTTTATGTGATGTAGTACGTTTTTTGATTTGTGAATATTGAATCATCCTTGCATCCCTGGGATGAATCCCACTTGATCGTGGTGGATGATCTTTCTATTGTATTGCTGGTGTGGTTTGCCAACATTTGTTGAGGAGTTTAGTGTCTATGTTCATCAGTGATATTGGCCTGTGGTTTTCTTTCTTTGTTGTGCTTTATCTGGTTTTGGGATTAGGATGATGCTGCTATAAACAGAGTTTGGGAGTCTTCCCTCTTCTTGGACTTTTTAGAATAGTCTGAGAAGGATGGGGATTAGTTCTTCCTTAAATGTTTTGTAAAATTCTCCTGTGAATCCATCCAGTCCAGGGATTTTGTGTACCAGGAGTTATTTGATAACTGCTTCCATTTCACAAGCTGTTATCAGTCTGTTCAGGCTTTCTACTTTCTTGGTTCAGTTTTGGAAGATTATATGTTTCTAGGAATTTGTACATTTCATCCAGGTTTTCAAATTTCTTGGCATATAATTGTTTGTAGTAATTTCTTACAATCCTTTGTATTTCTGTGATATCAGTTGTAATTTATCCACTTTCATTTCTGATTTTGTTTATTTGGGTTCTCTCTGCTTTTTTTCTTCATGAGTCTGCTTAAAGGCTTGTTGATTTTGTTTATCTTTTCAAAGAACCAGCTTCAGGATTTGTTGATCCTTTGCATTGTTCTTTTAATCTCTATGTCACTTAATTCTGCTCTAATCTTGGTTATTCCCCTCCTTCTATTTGCTCTGGGATTTGTTTGTTGTTGTTCCTTCAGGTTTTTAGATGTAGGGCTAGGTTGTTCATCTGAAATGTTTCTCTCTTTTTTAGGTAGGCCTGTATTGCTACGAACTTCCCTCTCAGGACTGCCTTTGCTGTGTTCCATACGTTTTGGACTGTTGTCTGTTCATTTTCATTTTTTTATAGAAATGTTTTGATTTACTCCTTAATCTCATTATTAATCCATTCATTGTTTAGTAGCATGCTATTCAGTCTCCATGAGTTTGAATGTTTTTGAGTTTTATCTGTGAGTTTGGTTTCTTGTTTAGGCCCTTGTGGTCCGAGAAAATGCTTGTTATGATTTCAATTTTCTTGAATTTGTTGAGGCTTGTTTTGTGTCCTATCATGTGGTCTATTTTTGAAAATGTTCCGTGTGCATTTGAAAAGAATGTTATTTTACTTCTTTGGGATGAAAGGTTTGACATATGTCAGTTAGGTCCAATTG